CAAGTGAGCTTTATTCCTGGGATGCAAGGCTGGTTCAACATACACAAATCAATAAATATAATCCATCATATAAACAGAACCAATGACAAAAACCACATAATTATCTCAATAGATGCAGAAAAGGCCTTCAATAAAATTCAATACCCCTTCTTCATGTCAAAAACTCTCAATAATCTAGATATTGACTGAAGATATCTCAAAACGATAACAGCTACTTATTACAAACCCATAGCCAATACCATACTCAATGGACAAAAGCTGGAAGCCTTCCCTTTAAAAATGGCATAGAACAAGGATGCCCTCTCACATCACTCCTATTCAACATACCATTGGAAGTTCTGGCCAGAGCAATCAGGCAAGAAAAAGAAATAAACCATATACAAATAGGAAGAGAGGAAGTCAAATTGTCTTTGTTTGTAGATGACATGATTGTACATTTAGAAAACCCCATCATCTCAGCCCAGAATCTCCTTAAGCTGATAAGCAACTTCAGCAAAGTCTCAGGAGAGAAAATCAATATGCAAAAATCACAAGCATTCCTATACATCAATAATACACAATCAGAGACTGAAATCATGAGTGAACTCTCATTCACAATTTCTACAAAGAGAATACAATACCTAGGAATACAACTTACAAGGGACATGAAGGACCTCTTAGAGGAGAACTACAAACCACTGCTCAAGGAAATAAGAGAGGATACAAACAAATGGAAAAACATTTCATGCTCATGAATAGGAAGAATCAATACCATGAAAATGGCCATATTGCCCAAAGTAATTTATGGATTCAATGCTATTCCCATTAAGCTACCATTGACTTTCTTTGCAGAATTAGAAAAAAACCTACTTTAAATTTCATATGGAACCAAAAAAGAGCCCATATAGCCAAGTCAATTCTAAGCAAAAAGAACAAATCTGGAGGCATCATGCTACCTGACTTCAACCTACACTGCAAGGATTTAGTAACCAAAACAGAATACTACTGGCACCAAAACAGATATGTACACCAATGGAACACAACAGAAACCTCAGAAATAACACCGCACATCTACAACCATCTGATCTTTGACAAACCTGACAAAAATAAGCAATGGAGAAAAAATTCCCTATTTAATAAATGGTGCTGGGAAAACTGGCTAGCCATATGCAGAAAACAGAAACTGGACCCTTTCCTTATACCTTATGTAAAAATTAACTCAATATGGATTAAAGACTTAAATGTAAAACCCAAAACCATAAAAATCCTAGAAGAAAACCTAGGCAATACCATTCAGGAAACAAGCATTGGACAAAGACTTCATGACTGAAACATCAAAATAAATTGCAACAAAAGCCAAAATTGACAAATGGGATCTAATCAAACTAAAGGGCTTCTGCATAGCAAAAGTAACCATCATCAGAGTGAACAGGCAACCTACAGAATGGTAGAAACTTTTTGCAATCTACCCATCTAACAAAGGGCTAATATCCAGAATCTACAAGGAACTTAACAAATTTACAAGAAAAATAACAAACCCCATCAAAAAGTGGACAAAGGATATGAAAAGATATTTCTCAAAGGAAGACATGCAGCCAATAAACATGAAAAAAAGCTCATCACTGATCATTAGAGAAATACAAATCAAAACCACAATGAGATACCGTCTCACACCAGTTAGAATGGTGATCATTAAAAAGTCAGGAAACAACAGATGTTAGTGAGGCTATAGAGAAATAGGAATGCTTTTACACTGTTGATGGCAAGGTAAATTAGTTCAACCATTGTGGATGACAGTGTGGCGATTCCTCAGGAATCTAGAAATAGAAATACCATTTGACCCAGCAATTCCGTTACTGGATAGATACCCAAAGGATTATAAATCTTTCTACTATAAAGATACATGCACACATGTTTATTGTAGCACCATTTATAATAGCAAAACTTGGAACCAACCCAAATGCCCATCAATGACAGACTAAATAAAAATTTTTTTAAATGTGGCACATATGCACCGTGGAATACTATACAGACATAAAAAAGAATTAGTTCATTTCCTTTTCAGGCACATGGATGAAACTGGAAGCCATCATTCTCAGCAAACTAACACAGGAACAGAAAATCAAACACCAGATGTCCTTACTCATAAGCGGAAGTTAGAACATAAGTTACCCATAAGTGAAAATGAGAACATATGAACACAGGAAGGGGAACACAGGAAGAGGAACATCACAATCCTGGTCTTGTCTGGAGGTGGGGGAAAGGGGAGGGTGAGCATTAGGACAAATATCTAATGCATGCAGGGCTTCAAACCTAGATTATGGATTGATAGGTGCAACAAACCACCTGGCACAGGTATGCCTATGTAATACACCTGCACGTTCTGCACAGTATGTCAGAACTTAAAGTAAATGTTTTAAAGTAAAACCACAAAATGTAAAATGAAATAATTTTGCATTATAATCTAAGTATACACTGGGGTCTGTTGGAGGGAACAGGGGAGGGACAGTGCGGGGGGAAGTTGGGGAGGGATAGCACGGGGAGAAATGCCAGATGTGGGTGATGGGGAGGAAGGCAGCAAATCACATTGCCACATGTGTACCTATGCAACTGTCTTGCATGTTCTGCACATGTACCCCAAAACCTAAAATGCAATTTAAAAAAAAGAAAACTAAGTAGGAATATGTATTACATATAGTAATACTTTTTAATTCACTAACTCCATTTCTGATAAACCATCTAAAGAATGTTAAAGATGGAAAGCATTTTATTTTGAATGCTCTATAAAGTGACAAATTTAGAAAGTGGAAATGTTTCATAGAATTATTGAGAAAGTATGTATATATGTATATTAAACTTATATATAAATTATTATGCATAATATTGTCACACAGTTACAAACACCACAGGCTAAGAAAATGTTATAAATTAGAAAATAATTATATTCTACATATTTGATTTTATAACTCATAGAAATACATGATACACAAAAAGAAAAATAAGAAAAACTAAATACATTAAAATATGAGCACATGATTTTCCTGAAGATTATATCTAGGCTGACACTCAATTCAATTACTGCATCTTTATTTTGCTAAAATCTTAGGATGAGTACATATTAAGTAATAACTTGCACAAATCAGCTTTTTTTTTGAGGTGGGAATTTTGCTTTTTATTTTTTTTTTATTGCAAAGGGCTGATATTCAGAATTTACAAAGAACTAAAACAGATTTACAAGAAAAAAAACAAACAAGCCCATTCAAAAGTGGGCAAAGGATATGAACAGACACTTTACAAAAGAAGACATACATGAGACCAACAAATGTATGAAAAAATGCTCATCGTCACTTGTCATCAGAGAAATGCAAATCAAAACTACATTGAGATACCATCTCACACCAGGTAGAATGGTGATCATTAAAAAATCGGGAGACAACAGATGCTGGAGAGGATGTGGAGAAATAGGAACACTTTTACACTGCTGGTGGGAGTGTAAATTAGTTCAACCATTGTGGAAGACAGTGTGGCGATTCCTCAAGGACCTAGAAATAGAAATTTCATTTGACCCAGCAATCCCATTACTGGGTATATAACCAAAGGATTATAAATCATTCTCCTCTAAGGACACATGCACACGAATGTTCATTGCAGCACTGTTTACAATAGCAAAGACGTGGAACCAACCCAAATGCCCATCGATGATAGACTGGACAGGGAAAATGTGGCACATGTACACCATGAAATATTATGCAGCCATCAAAAACGATGAGTTCATGTCCTCTGCAGGGACATGGATGAACCTGGAAACCACCATTCTCAGCAAACCGACACAAGAACAGAAAATGAAATGCCGCATGTTCTCATTCATAGGCGGGTATTGAACAATGAGAACACATGGACACAGGGAGGGGAGCACTACACACTGGGGTCTGTTGCAGGGAATAGGGAAGGGACAGTGGGGGGTTGGGAGTTGGGGAGAGATAGCATGGGGAGAAATGCCAGATACGAAGGGGAGAAAGGCAGCAAATCACATTGCCACATGTGTAACTATGCAACTATCTTGCATGTTCTTCACATGTACCCCAAAACCTAAAATGCAATTTTAAAAAATTGAACCAATAAATAAATAAATAAATGGTCTTTAAATCCTAGGTGTCAATCTTAACCTCACCTTTAATAAGTGTGCAAATTATTTATTCTTGCTGAATCACAGAAACAATAAAATGTAAACCATGACTATGAGGGGTTTGGTGATGATTACAAAGGATGTATTTCAGGCATTGAACAGCATCTGTCATATGCAAAGTAAAGTAACAACTGTGTTATCAGGTTTACTATTTTAATTAAGGTATTTGCAGATGGGAATATGCAAATGTGGTATATTTTCACCCATGTTGTTAACACCTGTGGTAATTACTGTATCTCACGAGTAACCATAATTTATTACTGAATCGAAGCATCTAATACCCATAGTTTTTTGTGGAAATGGACCCACATGCATGACATTTAGGCGAAAGACACAACTCAAAAAAATCACATAAGATGTTACTAAAAAGAAGCAAAATTTGTTTAGATGGATTTCAGATTTACACTCAACTGTCATAACCTCTACATTACTCAGCATTTTCAGTCCAAATTTAACATAATTGGACTAAAGGTAGCATTTCTTCCTAAACTGTTTATGGATAGAAGGTAAGAAGAGGAGAGAACATAAAATGCATTGAGAACTCACAATTTTCCATGTGTTATGCATATGTTACATACCTTACACCATTTAAATGTAATAATTTTCTTTAAAGTAATTTAAACACTACTGAAAACACAGAAACTACTTTTAAGCTTAAACGTAACAGTATCATACTTCACAGAGCTTTATTCAACTGACTATAAATTGTATTTGATGCTGAACTATTCATTAAATTTAATCCAGTTCCAACAAGACTATTCAATAAACATAATACACATACATTGATTGCTTTCCTATCTTAGAGATTTCAGGAGTGCAAAATAAGTGCACCATCATGAATTGGAAAATGAAAGCTCCCCAAAGAATTTGTACTACTTGGCTTCTCAGATAAGCCTTGGCTACAAATGCCCCTTTCTGTGGTCCTGTTAATATCACACACAATCAGCATCCTTGGCAATGTGTCCATCATGATGCTGTGCATTCTGGGTCCCAAACTTCATACACCCATGTGTTTCTTTCTCACTAATCTCTCCATCTTAGGTCTCTGCTACACCACAACTACAGGTCCTCCTATGTTGGTAAATATGGGTCGCAACAAAGAGACCATCAGCTATGTTGGCCCAACTCATCATCGTCCTGGCCTTAGGTGCTACTGAGTGTCTCCTTCGGGCTGTTACGTCCTTTGACAGATTTGTGGCTGTTTGCAGACCCCTTCACTACGTAGTCATCATGAATTACTGGTTCCGCCTAAGGATGGTGGCCTTCTCCTGGCTTACTGGTTTCAGCAACTCAGTGCTGCAGTCTTCCTTGACCCTTAACAGGCCATGGTCACCAGGAAGTGGACCACTTTTTCTGCGAGGTGCCTGCCCTTCTCAAGTTGTCATGTGCTGACACAAAGCCTATTGAGGCTGAGCTCTTCTTCTTTAGTGTATTAATTCTTCTAATTCCAGTCACATTGTTTCTCATATCCTATGGCTTCATAGCTCAAGCAGTATTAAAAATCAGGTCAGCAGAAGGACGGCGAAAAGCATTTGGGACATGTGGGTCCCACATGATTGTGGTGTCTCTCTTTTATGGAACAGCCATTTATACGTATCTACAGCCACCTTCATCCACCTCTAAGGACTGGGGAAAGATGGAATCATCACACCTCCTCATCTACAGCCTTAGAAATAGACATGAAGGAGGCCTTCAAGAGGGTGATGCCAAGAATCTTCTGGAAGAAGTAAAAAGTACTCCATTGTGATGTGAATCTTCTTAGTCTCTCCTTATTTTCAACGATGTTAATAACTTTTGAACTCATTTTCCTATTTTCCAGAGTCTGGTGATTTCACTGAATTCTACCAACCCTTAGAAAAGCCTTCCTCTGTTGGCCTGGTGCAGTGGCTCACGCCTGTAATCCCAGCATTCTGGGGGGCCAAGGCGGGTGGATCACCTGAGGTCAGAAGTTTGAGACCAGCCTGGCCAACATGGTGAAACCCTGTCTGTACTAAAAGCACAGAAAAATTAGCTGAGCGTGGTGGTACACGCCTGTAATCCCAGCTACTCAGGAGGCTGAGGCAGTAGAAACACTTGTACTCAGGAGGTGAAAGTTGAGGTGAGCCAAGATCATTTCACTGCACTCAAGCCTGGGTGACAGAGCCAGACTCTGTCTCAAAAAAAAATAAAATAAAATTCTTCCTCTGTTTAGGAAGCAACACTGAACACATATGGCATGTCTTCAAAGTTAAAAACTCCCTTCTTTTCAGAAGTTCCCCAATGTACTCTGTTCCTAGAGGCAAGTGATGCCAATTTCCTATCAACTTCAGAGTAGTCAGGGGACTTCAGTGTATTGCCTTCCCGCTTGGACACTATTATTCTACAACATCCTGTCCATGCCTTTAGTGAGGGATTTTCATATCTTTATAATTAAATTGCCAGTTATTCCAAGCCAAAAATTATTCCATCAGAACCAAAGTCTTCAATCACTTTAAACCCTCTGATCTCTTGATAAAATTCATCACATGCACCTCTTAAGAACTGTTGTAGGCATGTACTTTGGCTTCAGTCTAGCTGGGGTTTTTGTTTTTGTTTTTGTTTCGTTTCATTTTGAGATGGAGTTTTACTCTTGTTGCCCAGGCTGGAGTGCAATGGCACAATCCCGGCTCACCGCAACCTCCACCTCCTGGGTTCAAGCAATTATCCTGCTTCAGCCTCCTGAGCAGCTGCGATTACAGGCATGCACCACCACACCCAGCTAATTTTTTGTATTTTTAGAAGAAATGGGGGTTCATCTTGTTGGCCAGGATGGTCTCAAACTCCCAACTTCAGGTGATCCACCCACCTTGGCCTCCTAAGCTGCTGGCATTACAGGTGTGAGCCACCACGCTTGGCCAACCTAGATGGTTTTAAACCAGCTAAGTGTGTCCAACTCAATCTTGAAACCTTAAATGTCAGTTGAGTTTTATTTCAAATTTTATTTTCAATTCATCTCTTTATTCCTCTAGATAGTATTTCTCCTTGTTTCCTTCTTTTGTTAAATTCTTTATTTGTCCCAACTTCTACCTAAGGTATGTGGAGCCTCCTCTAAATTATAGAGCTAATTATAGAAATGTTAATGAGAACCATTTTTTCTCATATTGAATTGAATTAGCTTACTCTTTCTCCGGGGTAGTCACTCAACAAGCATTTATTCACAAGACAGCAGTATCCAGGGGAGGAGTATCTCAGTTCCTCTACTGAAGAAATGTGCTAGGTCCGGATGGCAATGATCCTTACCCTTAAACTGAGACACTTACATGATAATCTTAATTTCCACCTGTGACCTAAGGGAATTATTATAAAATTGTTAAGGTGAATTCAGTTTTTTTGGAGTCTCTTAGTACTGAGTCCATTATAAATAACAGGTGCCAACATTTATTGTCTCATTTTATTATGGCATGAAAGTTCGAGGGAAGAATACCCACTAAGGAATTGCTATAATAACCCTTACCAAGAAATGTCAGCTATATTATCTGTATGGGGAACAAAGTTTCACAGATTTACAGAGCGAGAGACAACCCTATAAAGTACTTTTTAAGTACCTTTAGAACAAGATCATGTCCTTTGCAGGGAAATGGATGGAGCTAGAAACCATTATGCAGGAACAGAAAACCAAACACTGCATGTTTTCACTCGTAAGTGGGAGCTGAACAACGAGAAAACATGGACACAGGGAGGAGAACAACATACAATGGGGCCTGTCCAGAGATGGAGAGGGGAGGGAAAACATCAGGAAATATAGCTAATGGATGCTGGGCTTAATATATAGGTGATGGATTGACAGGTGCGGCAAACCACTATGACACATGTTTACTTATGTGACAAACCTGCACATCCCACACATGTATCCTAGAACTAAAATACAATAAATAAAATAACATAAAATAAATTGTTTAAAGTATGTTTCTTACCTCTAAAGGGTACGTTGGTTTTCACATCCGAAAATATTTGCGGTCTGCTCTGAGGGATGGCCCGGACCACCCACCATTGCTGGAGGAGCCCTTCAGACCGTAGGAAGTATGAATACTGTCTTTTATCTTTGAGTGGATCTACAATGGCTTCAGCAGTGTGCTTCAGTTCCTAGGACTCTATAAGAAATTTGGAAAATTTGTATTCTTGGGTGTGGACAATGCAGGCAAAACCATTCTTCTTCACATGCTCAAAGATGATAGATAGGGCCAACATGTTCCAATGCTATATCCAACATGAGAACAGCTAATAATGGCTGGAATGACTTCTACAACTTTTGATCTTGGTAGACACAAGCAAGCATGTCAGGTTTGAAAAAATTATCTCCCTGCAATTAATGAGATTATTTTTTCTGGTGGACTTTGCAGATCATTCTGGCCTCATGGAATCCAAAGTTCAGCTTAATGCTTTAATGACTGATGAAATAATATCCAATGTGCCAATTCTTATCTTGGGTAACAAAATGTGAAGAATGGATGCAATCAGTGAAGAAAAAGTCTGTGAGATATTTGGGCTTTCTGGAAAGACCACAGTAAAGAGGAATGTGGCCCTTCAGAAGCTGAATGCTCACCCCATGGAAGTGTTCATGTGCAGTGTGCTCAAGAGGCAAGGCAACGGCGAGGAATGCTGCTGGCTCTCCCAGTGTATTGACTGATGTGTGGACAGTGAAAATAAGAGTTTTTCTTCTCTGGATTGATCCAATTCACAACTTCTTCATGAACGTTTTTAATAGAACAAGGAAAGGTCTCCAATCATGTCTGCAGTTGAGAAGCCAAGTCTGTGAACTCTCTCACCACACAGCGGTGAAACGTTCTCTTCTCCACACTGTTGGGGAGGTAATGCTGCCCCACATGCTGGTGCAGGTCAGTATCCCGGGACTTGGAAGCCGGCAGGATTTTCTCAGTAAAGCTGTGAGCCATCACAGGACATCTCACTACTATGGTTGGTTTCAAAAGAAAGTGATTCTAATTTTAAACAAGTGTTAATATAATTGATACCCCTTCTAACTTTTTGAGTTTAAAATTTACTTAGTCCAGAGTTTTCTATTCTTTTCTTTAACTAATGAATAACATTTAGATACTTCATAAAGTTATGAACAGATACACATTGGAGGCCAGAGCTCATTCAGGTGAACCCACTCCTGCGGAGTTAGCAGGTTGGTGAGAGAAGCTCCCCTGAGCTCACCTGTCTCTTTAACTGCCTTGGAGAAGGTAGAATTACCTTATGCACAGAGAACTAGGAAAGGAGCAGAATCCTGGCCTTGCAGTTGTGGCAGGTTTCCACTGTGGTAAGCTAGGGTCATTCCTCATCAAGGAATGTGTAGCAGATTGTTCACTGTTGAGCAGTTAATTATAGTGCAGGTTATTGTTATTATTCTTACTTATAAAGTTATAGACTTCAGCCAGTCTTTGATTCTATACTTTGGTGAAATTTCCTTTCCCTCTATAGCACCTCCCTTTTTCATTTTTAGTTATAAAACATGACTTTCACCTCATGAATGAGTTGAAAACATCTCTCATGTTGTCACATACTGCAGGTGTGTCAGTTACCTTTGCACACATTCTAGGGGGAAATTTTTCTGAATAGGAAGACAGGACAAAGTTAACAGCTTAAGGGCTCTTGATTCTGTGAGTTGAGGACTTAAATGTATTGTAGCACCTGTATGCATGCAGGAAAAATGTACTCAGTGGGCTTTAAAATTTCCACTTGCAGAATTTGGTCTCTATTGGATTGATCCTGAGCTCTTTGTCTCACATCTTATCTTCTTAGATAGCCACGTTGTTGGTGTTTAAAGTCAAAGTTAACAAAAGTTAGCAGCTTTTCCAGGTGTGTTTGTGTGGAGTTTTTAAAAATGAAATTGCCTTTCTCCATTGCAGAAATAAGCTGGGAAAAACACTAACTTAAAAACTTTCTGTAGAGCTGTTCCTTTGGAGGCAGCATCACTTATTGGCAGTAAGGTGTATAAAAGCAAGAGCGTCTTTACCACCATGATGAGGATTGATTTTACAGCATGCCATGTTCTCAGTGCCACATGTGGAATTGGATTTTAATGATCTTAACCTAAATTCCACCCCTGTAGTAAAAGATCAAAAGATAGAATCTCCTAGGAAAAGACAGGATATACCAGATGAAAAATTGAAAGGATATCTTTATTCTAATGTGAGGATGAAGAAAATGTAAATGACATATTACTGGGGTGAGAGAGTATACTTCTTTAGTTGGAGTTTTCAGTCTGAATTTCAGTACTGACTTGTTGGGAAAGCACTTTTTCACTGCCAGGTACAGAATGCAGAGGCTCAATGAAGTATGTATTTCTGGGAAATGCATGCATTTTATTTATTAGCAAGCACAGCCGGATTAAGACAAAATTGTTTGGAAAGGGGTTAAGCCTTAAGTGAACAAATCTAGCTAACAGTGAATGAACTAGATAGTTAACTTACATTTTTTAAAAATTTCCTTTCGTTAAAGGTTCCCCATATTCTCTGTTCAGAGACATGAGAAGTATGACTGCTTCTATGTTAGTTTTCTTATTTTTAGTTTTGTGGGCTTTTTTATTTATTTATTTATTTATTTTTGCCCTATTTGTCCCTAGTCATTTTGCTGCAGGCTAGAAAACTGTGAGTTCTACATGGGGCTGCTCTTCGTGAAAGTGGTTTATTCCACGGGAGAAAGGGGATTGAAAATCAGTTAAAACCAACGTATTTCTTGCCCCATGGAACACTATTCCTGTAAGAAGATA